ATTATACTTTATATATTACACACAATAATATATATAATATTATATATATAATATATATGCAATGTAGATTGGAACGCACGCGCGCGAAAAGATATAGGAAATGTATATGTGTAATAAATTGAGAATAGAGCAAAAACTATTAATAACTGTTCTTTTTTATTTGATTGATAGAAACTATTATATATCATTTATTTTTTCTCTAATTTTAGTAATTTTTTCTATTGTACTATTTTACGAGGGATCTAATGATATCTTTCGTTGCAGTGAAATATGTACACGATTGAGGATCAAGCAGCTAGCGCTTGCGCTGCTACGCATGCGCGAGATTGTCCCTCCATCTCATGATATAGGTATTTCTCTTTTTATTTTATTTTTTTCTCATAACAATGCATTAAAATCAATTTTAATATCCATGTCCAAAGATGTATAATTAGCAATTATTCTAATATATATATATATAAGCTTTTCTTAGCACTTATTTCATCTAAGGTTACATTAATTCCTCCAACATATCCTGAAGTATGTACATTTTCTTTTCCAAACGTCTGTTTTTTTGTGCTAAAATTTTATTTTGATGCCTGTTATAGGCAACATACCTTAAAAATGCTGACCACTTTTTATCCGAAGAAAAATCTATATTTCTAAAGCATTCTATATTATATTTGGACATATGTACAAAAATCTTCTTAATTTTAGAATTTCCTAAATTAGACGATGGCAATTTCCTAAAAAAAAAAAAAGATTTATTTACAATATTTGTAAGATATAAATAAAAAATTGTTTTTTCTTCTCTTACCTTTTTCCACTTATACTATTATTATTCACAAAATTATCACCATCTTTTTGATTATTTACAGACGTATTTATTTTCCTTTCTGAATCTAAAGACGTATTGACTAAATTTTCAGTTATATCCAAAACAGGGGTTGATTTTTGTTCCACATTTTCGCTACAGAAAAAAAGCATTATTTAAAAATAAAAATTGTTATAACATTATTAAAGAAAATATATTTGATTTACTCACCTTTTTTTGCTTTCAACATCATTTTTTGTATTATTTACTTCACAATTTTTTGTATTGTCATAAATTGCATCCTTTTCATTTTGAGATTCAATTTCAGAATCATTTTGAGATTCAATTTCAGAAACATTCATGTTAGTCTCTTGTAATGTAGATGATTCTTTCTTTTTATCTTTTCTAGAAGAAAAATGTTTCAAACTATTATGTAATTATAATTTTAATAAAAAAACTTTTATCTCACCTGTTTTGTTTGATATAAACAGAAGGAATTGCAGTACTTTTTAATCTTCTGATTCTTGAGTATAGGTTCACTTTATAAAAATCGTTCTCCGTGAAATGATCACTGCAAACTCTGGCCCCTTTGTAAGAGACAGTACGGCCAATTATACTAAACCATTTATTCCTTATTTGTTCATCTGTTGGTATTCTATAAACATTGTACAAATTTTGAAACAGTTGTTGAAGAATGTAGAATATAAAACAACATAAGAATGTTTGAAGTAAATGTGAAACATAGTTTGGAAAAATTTAATTTTACAGTATTAAATTAGTAACATATTTTTCCACTACTTTGACGTGTAAAACTCTACTATTAATTAGTAAATATTATTAAAAATTACTTAAGGATTAAGAAAATAAATAAATTAAATCTTATAGACTATCAATAATTCTTAATCGTAATATATATAGTTTATCAGATCTTTAGCTATGTTTCTCATTATAACCAGATATTAGGATATAAATAATAATTTTCTCCCTCAATTATCTTAATATTAATTTTTATTTTATCATTTCTAACTATATATATGTCTACATTTTTTTATAACCTGTGAAATGATCGTTGTGGATTAAAAGGGATGCACTCTTTCGAACATAAACAACACGACGTAACCATTTTTCTAAATTTATAAAATGAATATCCTCTCCAATTATATATAATTTGGTCATATATGTCGCAGATTTTGGACACTTTTGTCCAAGACGAAGATATGAACACTCCACGACTCCACCTTCTCTCTTTTTACATGTTCTTCAAACCTCAACTTGAAGCTTGGAGTCTTTCGCGCATAGTCTATTTTTTTCTCCTTCTCCCACTCATCATATAGTAGGTAGAGAGAGAAAGAGAGAATCTATTTATATATCTAGAGTCCCCATGTAAATAAAAGTATCCGATATGTGCAAAATATTAAACACGTATGAGATTAATATAAAATAACAATCATCTACCAATATCTTGATAGTGATGATGATAAATTAATCAATATAAGATATATACAATATATTATATATATATAATATAAGATATATTAATCAATATTCAATATAAATATATATATATATATATATTGAATCGTTGAACCAATAATCACGATGTATGAATATCTAGATACGATGCGTAAAATCCATTAAAAAATGTCTAGTGAGACTAGACGCGCCGTAAATTTGAAAATAGGTCCAATCGCAAAGACCCTGCTCTCTCAAGTTGTGACGGCTCGTTGGAAGCTGGACTTTAGGGCCAAGCGATGATCGCGCCGCTTCTGACGTCTCGGGGTCCTCGGGTTCAGCGTGATCACGTCGACGATCACTGTGTGTATACATATGCATTACCTGCCACACGCGTATCTATGATTGCTCAAGTTTGTATACGCGCACCACTCCCGCTATTGCGTGTTATTCGCCATTATTTTTGTGAGGCTCCCGGTGGAACGCGGCACCTGGGGCATCCGCGTAATATCGACGAGTGCGCAAAGACGGGAGAGTGATGGGGGACGCGGCGATGAACGTCGCAGCGTCCGGTGGTGGCGGCGGCGTTGGCGGTGTTAGCGGTAGCGGTAGTGGCGGTGTTAGCGGCAGCGGTAGTGGCGGTGTCAGTGGCAGCGGCGGCAATGGCAGCGGAAGCGGTAGCGTCAGCGGCAACGTTGGCGGTCAGCGAATCGTCAAGGAAGGCTGGCTCCAAAAACGCGGTATTATTACGCCAAGACCCGTTCATAATATTTACGTCTTGCGCAATGTTTACTCGGTTGACGCGAATGTGTCTCGTGATTGTCGCATGTTTCTCCTCGACATGTCTACGTCGAGCGTGTGTCACGGACGCGTGGTATACGTCCAGCTACCTTCTCGTCGACGTGACCAACGTCGAGAGTAACACCGAAGCTAAAACCCCCTTGTATCGATATAGGTATTCGCGTTTATATCACGCGAGATGTTCGTGATGAGAGACGAAAATATGACTGCAAATTACGTTCTCTTCAACACGACGTCTTTGCGATAGTTAATAAGTCCGCTGCTCGCATATTTTCATGTCTAATGGTGTTATTATGATGTGCATTTTGTAACGCACTTCGTGAACAAAATCTAACAAGCCTCGGAGCATAATGTCTATTGACTTTCCTAGATATTTTATTCTATTTATTATACCTTGCGCCATAAATTCTTGCATGGTAATAATCTCTTTTATCCTGTAATATATAATATTAATCATATATATATTAATATATATTAATCAGAAATTTTATATTAGTTCTAGTAAATATGAGATTTGGGTGATAATGTGAATATAAGTATAGAATATTTTAAAAAATTTAGGGGTTTAGGAACTTGCTTTTCTTATTGGAATTAAAATCAGATGTTTAATTAGAAGCTATTTTTCACAATATTTCTGGATACATACAGAAAGTAAAATATGAAATAATTTATTTGTAGGTGAACACATTAAAAATTGGAGATCGAGATATTTTGTCTTGAGAGACGATGGTACACTGGTCGGGTTCAAGGCAAAACCTGATCCACAAATGGCTACGCAAACATCTACGCAGCCATTAAATAATTTTACAGTACGTGGATGCCAAATAATGTCAGTGGATAGACCTAAACCATATACATTTGTTATTAGAGGCCTGCAATGGACAACCGTAATCGAAAGGACATTTCATGTAGAAACAGAACAAGAAAGGGAAGACTGGGTAGCAGCAATCAGGTGTGTGTTCTACTTTAACAACAATCTGTTAAGCTTCAAAATATTAAATTTTATATTGTATACAATATTCATACAAATTCTTTCCTTGTGTTTTTTGCAGATATGTAGCAAATAGGTTAGCAAATGAAGAAAATCAACAGCATGAACAACCCCAAATGCAACAATCTTCCTCTTCAGAAGATGTCGATATGGAATCGTCAGTAGGCGCTAGGTCTGATTCTTGTAGCTCTTTAGGTGTTGTATCTACAGATTTAGATGGTGGTAGTATTGATGAATTATCAGCAAAATTCAGTGTCCAAGGAACTTCAAGCAGTAAAAGTACTGGCAAAAAGAAAGTAGTAAGTTATTGAATCTCTTTTGCTTATTTATATATATCGTCTTTATCATTTTTTTTTTTTTTAGGAAACACATTGTGCTGAGTATATGAGTACTCCATATATGTGTGTATGTGTATATCTGTGTGTATACAGAAATGTATAAATCATTTTTATTTATAAATTTTTCCTTTATTTGTTTCAGACACTTGAGAATTTTGAATTTTTAAAAGTTTTGGGAAAAGGAACTTTTGGAAAGGTAATTCTCTGTAGAGAAAAAGCAACAGGACATTTATATGCTATCAAAATTTTAAGAAAAGAAGTTATTATTCGTAAAGATGAAGTGGCACACACACTTACCGAAAACAGAGTATTACGCACTACTAACCATCCCTTTTTAATTGTACGTACATTGTATATAAAATGTTTAATGTATCATTATTACTATTATTGATTATTAACAGGATGTTTACTCTTTGGAAAAACATGGGAAACTTGGAATTCTCAGGGAATTTTTTTTGTACCTGGAAAAATCAGGGAATTTTTTAGAATTTTATTGGGACTCGAGGAATTTTTTTTTAAATTCTCTGTTTTTAATCATTTTGCTCTTATACTGTAAGCAATCTGCAATTTGTTGATAAGCCAAGTTGTGAATTATATGTTTAAAATACATTATAAATATATATCTCTTTCTGTTTATATATTCAATGTCTTAACAAAATATTGAATATGTATTGTACATATTCTTTACTTTAATTTTTAATCATAAAAAATGAAAATGTTATAAAAGTTAAAAATTTTCATCTTAACGAAAGTTATTCATTTTTTTCAGTACATTTGTAAATTTAGCACTTGAAATTTAAGTGGCTTTGTGCTTTTCTTTCATATGAGTGAAAAGCGTATAACAAAAAGAATTATTTTAGGAAATTGCACCAAAAAATCTTTAAAATATTCTCTTTATCTGGAATTTTGAACAAAAATATTTGAAAGATCAGGGAATTTTTTCACAAGATTTGAGTAGACATTCTGTATTAAATATCCTTTAACAATTCATAATTTAGAATTTATCTGCATTTGTAATAATAATTAAAATATTTTTTAATTTTCAGTCTTTAAAATATAGCTTTCAAACAGCAGATAGATTGTGTTTTGTTATGGAATATGTAAATGGTGGCGAATTGTTTTTTCATTTGAGTCGGTCACGAGTATTTGGTGAAGATCGTACTCGATTCTACGGCGCAGAAATTATATCGGCTTTGGGTTACTTGCACTCGCAAGGTATTATATATCGTGACCTAAAATTGGAAAATCTTCTCTTGGACAAAGACGGGCATATAAAAATTGCTGATTTCGGTTTATGTAAAGAAGACATTACATATGGTTTGTATTATATATTTTAAGGCTAAAGATTAAAACTAATAAAATATTATGAATAAGTTTTAACATATACAGTTGATTATGGGATATATATATAGGATATATTTATAGGAAGGACAACAAAGACATTTTGTGGAACACCAGAATATCTGGCACCAGAAGTACTCGAAGATAATGATTATGGACGAGCCGTGGATTGGTGGGGTGTGGGTGTAGTCATGTATGAAATGATGTGTGGTCGATTACCTTTTTATAACAAAGATCATGAAAAGCTATTTACGCTTATTTTATTGGAAGAAGTAAGGTTTCCTAGGACGATTAGTAATGAAGCAAGAGATATGCTTGGTGGTAAATACTACTTTAATGATCGTAATCACAGTGTTTTTATATGAAAAAATTCACTTTTGAATTATTTTTATAGGTCTGTTAATAAAGGATCCAAGTAGAAGATTAGGTGGTGGGCCCAATGATGCGAAAGACATCATGAATCACGCATTTTTCTCGTGTATCAATTGGACGGATCTTGTCCAGAAGAAGATTCCTCCACCTTTTAAGCCGCAAGTGACTTCAGATATTGACACTCGATATTTTGATAGTGAATTTACCGGCGAAAGTGTTGAACTTACGCCCCCGGATCAGGGCTGTTTAGGTAGTGGAGGAGGTTTAAATTCTATAGCAGAAGAACAAGAACATTTTCCGCAATTTTCGTATCAAGAAAGTCATTCTGCAGCAACTTCTTCCATTGTCTCTATTAATCACTGACAGTGTCAAGTGTCTTGCTTAATTAATGTAATGAGATGTGTGGTTTATTAATGCATGAAAAACCGAGCAAAAACATTCAATTACAATATGTATCTGACAATTGTCTACAAAGCTTAAAACTTTACCAATGATAGGCAAATCAATAAAATTATCTTTCTTTATGATGCTTTTTTTATGCATCTTAAGAGATTGTTACATATCTCCAATGGCAAATTAGATTTATGCGTATAAGTGTGCGCTCGCATATAACACCTATACACATAATTATTAATCACTAAAATTGTATATGGAAAAATGTATACTATAAGATTAGGTCGAGATATAGTATGATTAATATTTGCTGCGTATGAAAGGAATATGACAGGGATTAAAAATTACGTTCTTAATTGAATCGAATTAATTAAAACTCTTTGAGAGACATATATTGTGAATATTGAATAATTTTCTTATCATCAAGAAATGCGCGATAATCGTAAGTATAAAAATCTTTGTTTTTAAGAAAAGCTGCACTTGACACTTTCCAGGTTTATTGTCGCTGTTTATTATCTTATTTATGGAAGGACAGTTCCTGATTTTTTTTTTTTTTTTTTTTTTTTTTTTAATTTTCAGTAGATAATTTTTACGGCGG